TATTGTAGAGATGAGGTCTCGCCTGCCCAGGTGGGTCTCGAACCCGCGGGCTCAGGCAACCCACTCACTTCAGCCTCCCAAAGCACGGGATGACAGGCTGAGCCACTGAGCCCGGCATGAATATTTTTAAAATGTTGTAGGAAATGGAATCCAGGGGTGCTCAGGCAAAAACTAAAGACAGCCTCAAGAACCTTCCGTCTTGCGCAGGAGGCTGACCTCCTGCCCTGCAATGACGACACGGGGTCCAGGGAGAGGGTCGAGGGAGGCGGCAGGGCCAGGGGGCCCCCAGACCCACCTGAGGCCGGCTCGTCCATGGAAAAGGCCTTGTTTTCCACGAACATGCTCTGACCCTTCTGCTCCTTCAGGATGGTCTCGTAGCCCACGCCCCGGGTGGGGTACGTGTCCCCCTGGTAACTCTGCTCCGGGCTGGCCTTGGTCACCTGGGAGACCTCGGGGATAACGTAGAAGAGGACAAAGGCCCAGGCGTTGGCGGCCAGGGCGATGGCCAGCGTGGGGTCGTCCCAGGTGGGGCTGCGGCGCTGCTCGTTGCCATAGGTGTACATGACGATCCACACCACCCAGATGGCGACGGAGGTGGCCGTGGTGAACAGCACAAAGGCCCCGTGCCTCCGCCAGCGCTTGAAGCGGCCGCACAGGGCGGGCCAGGCCCCCACGAAGGCACCCAGCAGCAGCAGCATGACGTAGATCAGAGCCATGACAAAGTCCATGTTGGCGATGGCGCAGGGGGCGGCCGCGGCCCAGCCGGCACTGCCGTTGCCCAGGGGGCTGCCCCCGCCCCCGCCCCGGACCAGGGTAATGATCAGCCACTCGGTGTTGATAATGACCTCCACGAGGGACAGCAACAGCGCCACGGTGAAAATCACCCAGCCCCGGGGCCCGTGGTTCTTCCGGGCCAGGAAGTTGAGCGCAAACACGTGGGCCACCAGGCAGGAGAAGCAGATGGCGAAGAGGACCCCGAAGAGGAAGCGCCGAGCGGCACAGGTGGAGAAGTTGGGCTTGACCACGCAGGCAAACACGAGGCAGAAGAGGCCCAGGGTCCCCAGCAGGAAGAACACCTGGGTCCCCAGCAGGCTCCGCTTCTTGGTGTCCTGCACAAAGGGGAGGCTGGCCACCAGGATGATGGTGAGCACGAACGTGGTGATGACGCCAGCCCCGGCCACTGCCTCCAGGACGATGCCCCACGCCCCAGAGCGGTCACACAGGTTGTAATAGAGCGGGTTGAGGTCGGAGCTGCAGCCAGGGGGGGCCTGGCTCTCGGCCTGGGCCCCGGGGACCAGGAAGAGAGGCAGCCCCAGACACATCAGCAGGGCTTTGCGGGTGGCCATCCTGGCGCCCAGGCCAGGCTCCGGCTGGGTCCCTAGGGACAGAGGGAGAAGGGACAAAGTCAGTCCTCCACGGTCAGACTCCAATGTATGTGGTGCTGCCTCCCCACTCCTGAAACAGGGCAAAAAAAATGCTAGTTGATCATGAAACTGCCTCTTGGGCTTCAGAATCCTTCTTAACACAGAACTCCTAGGAGGCATATCAGCTGACCAGAGAGACAAATGAGACCAAAGCTCATGCATGAGCCCTACTCCTAGCCATGGAAAAGGAGGGCTGTCACTGAATTTTTGATTCTTTCTCTTCCACCAGTATTAACCTGGGTTCTGATATCTCCTGAGCTCGGGCAGCTAGAATTGGGGAAGCAGGGACTTGTGAGAAAAATCAGCTGAGCACAGTGGCTCACAGCTGTAATCCCAGCACTTTAGGAGGCCATGGTGGGAGGATTACTTGAGCCTAGGAGTTCGACACCAGCCTGGGAAATACAACAAGACTTCATCTCCATAAAAAAATATTTTAAGGCTGGACTCGGTGGCTCAGCCTGTAATCCCCGCTTTGGGAGGCCGAGGTGAGTGAATTGCCTGAGCCCGCGGGTTCGAGACCCACCTGGGCAACTTGGCGAGACCTCATCTCTACAATAAATCAAAATTAGCCGGGCGTGGTAGCGCGTGCCTGTAGTTCCAGTTACTTGGAAGGCTGAGGCGGAAGGGTCGCCGGAGCCCAGCAGGTCGAGGCTGCAGTGGCCGGAAGTGGCCACTGCACTAAAGTCTGGGTGATAGAATAAAACACCAACTCAAAAAAAAAAAAAAGTTTTAAAAAAAGACCAGGCTCAGTGGCTCACCCTGTCATCCCAGCACTTTGGGAGGCTGAGGCAAGTGGATTGCCTGAGCCCGCGGGTTCAAGACCAGCCCTGGCAACTTTGGCGAGACCTCGTTTCTACAATAAATCAAAAATTACCCGGGCGTGGTAGCACAGGCCTATAGTTCTAGCTACTTGGAAGGCTGAGGCGGAAGGATCGCCGGAGCCCAGCAGGTTGAGGCTGCAGTGGTTGGGAGCGTGCCACTGTACTCCAGTCTGGGCAACAGAGTGAGAGTCCAACTCAAAATAAAAAAAAAAATTAGCCCAGCGTGGTGGTACACACCTGTAGTCTCAGCTACTCAGGAAGCTGAGGTGGAGGGATCGCCAGAGCCCAAGAGATCGAGGCTGCAGTGAGCCGTGACCATGCACTCCAGCCTGGGCGACGGAGTGAGACCCTGACTCAAAAAGAAAAAAGAAAGTCTGAACCAACCAGGCACACCACCCATCCAGCACTTCCTTCCTCTCTGCTCGGAACTTCCAGGGTTCTGTAGGTCAGCTACCGTGTTCCTCAACGCTGTCTCTGTGATACCTAAATCCTAGCTCGTGAGCCATGCATTTGCTCAATCATTCATTCATTCCACAAGTACCTACCAGCCCTTGTGACAGGCATAACCAGCAGCCAGAATAAAATGAAGAGAAAGTGGAAAAGTGTCTATTGACGCTCCTCCATCCCTCCCATGACCTCCCTTCCTTCTCTCCCTTTCAGTGCCAAGTCTGCTCTTCAGAATCCAACTGTTCTGGCCCAGCTCAGACGCTGAAGTCAAGGATATACAATAAACGAATTCCCCAGCTGAGTTAATGACTTCATGCAAAGCTTTTCCTGTGGGGCGTCCACATTTTGAAAGCAAGAAGCAGGCAAGGGCTACGCAAAACCCAAAGGAATTAATCTTCAACGGAAGACTTTAAGACGTTGTAACCAGAAGGCAAGAAAGATGGCTTTTATTAACACCAGGAGAGAAGTGTTTTGCTCCATCTACTAACTGCAGCTCTACCAAATGTCACAGATCAGCACCAAAGAAAACCAAACCCCTGCTCCCAATGCCAGCTGGATTTTCCCTGTGTGAAGTGGAGGTCACGGATGTGACAGGTTAAGAGAAATTGAAGACAAAATCAGTGAGTTTTCCAATTAAAGGCTTTACGTGAACTTGGAGACCTCACAAAATTAGAACCAAATGCTCTAAAAAGCAGGTTCTAAATTCCAAAATTCTATGAAGTGCATGTGTTCCACATGGTTAAATAACTCGTTGTAACTCTGCTTCTTCAGGCTTTATCAAGAACTCTCCAGAAAAACAGCCACCAAGTTTTCCTGGGCTGACAGTGAACACTAGTAACTGGCAGGGGAATGGCATTATTTGACTCAAATATCCTCCCCACCATCCATGTTCCTCTTTTTTGGGGGGAGATTCGGGAGAGGGGCTGTTTGCACACAGTTTATTTCCCTATTGCTTTTCACCATTCCTGGCTACTTAATTTCTAATAGGCAAACAAAAATCCTAAATCCCAGTCGATAGAAACTGTCTCCCCAACATTGATTAGTGAAAGAACACTTGCTAACTCAGGGGATGTGAAACTCGTAAAATTAAGTGAAATTGACATAATAAAGATGGTCAATTTTCAAACTCCTTTAAGACAGTCTGCATGGCACTTTAAAAATATTTCAGCTGAGCCATCTCGGCCACCTCCTCAACTTTCCATTCAGCTTGCAAGGCATTAACTCCTCAAATGAACAATCCTATGTAAATTTACTATTGTTTTTCTAAATAACCAGGTGTAACAGCTAGTTTTTCTTTACCTTCTATGCAGAAGCATGTTTCCCCTATACAGTGACTTAAATAAGCTTGGGGGAGAGGAGGGTCGTGTAATTGTAAATCAATAAAGCACCAAGTCTATTTTATTTACAAGTACTGGGAAGAGAAAAGAGGAGAAAAAGAGGGTCATTAGGCAGGGCGTAACAGTGAGTCTCTCCGGGATGATAATTTATGGGTAACAATGCGCTTATGGGATCCTAACCATCCAGCTCCATCCTGGGTGTGCTGGCCCACAGCCCACTAGCCAGAAGAACTTGGGGTGAACTTGGAAATAAGGAAAGAACACTGAGGAATACCACTCAGCCTCAAGCACCTGTGCCTTCAAGGGCCCTCACCTCACCCCCTTAGCCAGGTCCCAGTTCAGAACAGGCCATTATTCCAAGTCAGCAAATATTTACTGTGCACGGGGGGGATGCAGCCCCCCCCCCCCGTGCTCAGAGCTGTGGAAAATATAAAGATGAACAAACACAGTCCCTGACTTGACGGGCTTTAAAATCTGATAGGAGAGATAAGGCAGTTATACGAAAAAAGTACACAAGGAAGAATATGATGAGGAGACGGCGTCCAGCAGAATTGACCTAGAGGAAAGAGAAAGGTGCCACAGGGACACAGAAAAGGAAGAGGCCTTCTGGCTGACAGGTCAAAAGGGACAGAATGCAGGCGACCGTTGAGCATTTTATTCAGGGCTTCATAAAAACATACCAGGTCTCAGTCACTGACATGAGACAGGGACACAAAAAACAGCCCTGGCCAGATGCAGTGGCTCACGCCTATGATCCCAGCACTTAAGGAGGCTGAGGTGAGAGGATTACCTAAGCCCACAGGTTTGAGACCAGCCTGGGCAACTTAGCAAGACGTCACCTCTACAGTAAACCAAAAAATTAGCCGGGCGTGGTGGTGTGCGCCTGTAGTTCCAGCTACTTGGAAGGCTGAGGTGGAAGGATTGACTGAGCCCAGCAGGTCGAGGCCGCAGTGGCCATGAGTGTGCCACTGCACTTCAGCCTGGGCGACGGAGTGAGACTCCAACTCAAAAAAACGAAAAACAAAACAAAACAAAAACCAGCCCTGAGCTGAGGGAGGAAAGGAATGGCAGAAAAGATGGTCTAAGTCAAAACCAAGATGAGTCTAAGTTCGGAGCAAGTGGAAAAAAAGTCAAGTTCGCCAAGTGTGACCTGAGCTTGGAAAGGGAGGCTACAATTTGCACCCCATGAGAAATGCTCCGGGAAGCCGGGCCCGGTGGCTCAGCCCGTAATCCCGCGCCTTTGGGAGGCTGAGGTGAGTGGATGGCCTGAGCCTG